GCGGTGGGTGCCCCGCGAGCCGGCCAACGCCACCCCCCCGGCCCTGCCACGAGGCGTACCGGGATGCCCGGCTACATGTGAGCCCCCCGAGCCCTCCACATCCTCAAACGCACACTGGGGACCTTACCTGCGAGCTGCCCGGCGCCTTCCCCAGCACAGGTCATGGTGGTGGGGCTGGCGGTACCCAGCACCCCGAGCTCAGCGGGGTGCCTGCTCGCCATCCTGGTGCTCGCCTCACCCTCCCCGCTCGCTGCAGGGAAGTGAAACCACGCCGGAGCGGCTACGGCAGAGGCTGAGCACCCTGAACCAGGCAGGGCTGGTCCTGCTACGGCAGCAACCAGGAGCTCGACGGGGGAACCGAAATTTGCTGTGGCCCAGCTGAGTCACTTGGACCTGGGGAGATGCTCAGGTCCTTCCCCGTGCAAAAACCCTCCTCTCGCGGCCTTTACACCTCCTGGGTTATGTTAAAATAAAAAAAAAAATGCCATGGTTTTTTTTCAAAAAACATGTAGATGTGGCACTTGGGGACATGGTTTAGTGGGCATGGTGGTGTTGGGTTGATGGTTGGACTGATGATCTTAGAGATCCTTTCCAGCCTTAATGATTCCTAATATTACTTTCACTTTGACCTCTAAAGGTCCCTTCCAACCCAAAGCATTCTATGATTCTATGATTCTATATGATTCATTAAAAAATAATCCAGCCACCAAGCCAGGAAACATGAAATTAATTATGACTCTGCCCTTAACTGGTTTAGTGGTGGAGTTGGCAGTGTTAGGTCAATGGTTGGACTGGATGATCTTCAGTCTTTTCCAACCTCAACGATTCGATGATTCCATGATTCTGTTCTATGGTTTGAGGTGCCAGCTGTGTCTGTGGGAGCTTGGGCAGCTTCCTGCACCTCTGTCCTGCCAGGCTCGGAGCTCTGCCTGCATCGGGCAGCCTGCCCGGGCTGGGCAGGGAGTGCTGCTCCCACGAGGTGCAGGCAGGAGGATGGGACCGGACCAGGGGTGGGAAGGAAACAGCCACGGTGGGAAGCACAAGAGCACAGAGGGGTTTTGATGACCACGCTGGTTTTATTGAGCAAGGAGAAGAGGTTTCTCAATGCTTTGGGATGCTGGTGCCGAGGACCCACAGCCCTCTGCACCCTCCTGGCAGCTAACTCCGGCCAGCCCCTCCAAGGGACCTTTGGATGGTCCAGAGAGGTTTGGGGAAGGCAAGGCTGCTCCCCAAAGCTGACCGTCTCAGCCCAGAGCTCCGGGGGGGTTAGAGGGCCGTGCTGGCCGGCCCCTGGCCTGGCACCTTGGCCTCGCGTGGGTAGTACTCAGCCAGGATGCTCTCGGGGATGCGCTTCAGCAGCTGCTTGGGGAAAATACGCAGGAGCTGCCAGCCGATGTCCAGGGACTCAAAGATGCTCCGGTTCTCGTAGGGACCTGGGAAGAGATGCAGGCAAAGGGAGGTGCAGGAGCGGGGAGATGCTGGGGGTCCAGTCCAGGCTCAAAACCCCGTCCTGGCTCCAGGGTCCAGCCACCCTCCTCACCCTGGGTGATGAACTGCTTCTCGAACTTGTGCAGGAACTCCAGGTAGAGCAGGTCGTCGGGCGAGAGCGCCTCTTCGCCCACCACCGCCTTCATCGCCTGCACGTCCTTCCCGATAGCGTAGCAAGCGTACTGCGGGCCGGACAGGCAGCCGTCAGGACAGATGGACGCTCCATGCAACCCGCCGGGCAGGCGGAGCAGGAGGAGCAGAGCAGGCTCCCCCCTGCCCGGCTTCGGGAGCAGCTTAGGGAAATGCCAGCCTTCGCTTGGCCGTTTGCTGGGGACGCCCCGAGCAGGGTCTGCACGCAGTGGGCTCAGCTTGCGTGACCAGGCACTTTTCAAAGCCCTCTGGTCTCTGCAGCATCCGCAATTATATATAATTCTATTATATGTAATGTATGCTGCATGGAAAAAAAAATGCTGCTTGCTCTCAGGCTGGGATTCTCGCAGCAGGACAAGCTACAGCCCTGCCCCCGCCTTGGGGCTC